GTCCCGCTGAATGGCAGCGCAGCCTTCCAGTGTATCAGCCACTCCTCCCAGTTTTGTGTCGTCAGCGAACTTGCTGATGGTACACTCCGTCCCCTCGTCCAGGTCATTGATGAACAAGTTGAACAAGACTGGGCCAAGTACCGAGCCCTGGGGAACTCCACTAGCTACCGGCATCCAACTGGACTCTGCCCCGCCGATCAGAACCCTCTGAGCCCTGTTGTTTGGTTTTCTTTTTTTTTTTTTATCTTTTCCCTATAGCCATGGATAACTCACTGGCTATAGAAGCTGGTGTGGTAATAAAAATCTTCTCACCTAACTTAAGAGTTGTGATTAATTAAACAAATACAAGTTTCTGCTTTATGATGAGAAGAATCTGACTCCAGATTCCACTTACTAGGTCTCTATTAAGTATAAGTCAACAGTTGTGTGAAGTGAATTAAACTCCAGATGTTTATACAACAAATTCCTCCATCTGAATTAGTCATCCTAGGGTCCTTCCATCATCAGTGATGAAACACAGCCCTTCTATAGCTTGATCAGCTGACATTTTAGATGCCTAATTTGGATGAAGTGAAATGCTGTCTAGGAGAGCCCTTCTTATTGCTAAAGGGCTGAAAAAGGGAGTCTTTTAGAGTAGCTCAGGTGTAGATGTAGACATTGCAGGTATCTACATTTGGACTGATGAATCCCATCTCAGGTGTTCAGCAAGTGATAGGCTTCCCTTCTGAGTCAGTACATCCATATTCAGGATGATACCAAGCAATACCTTACTGTTGAAAGCTGCCTGTATGCAGCTTAAATCACTTTATTTGGGACCACTAGTTATTTTTAAAGATCTAATCCTCGGGTTTTGTGCATGAGAAAGGATAGCAATACTAGCAATAACAATTGCTAGTGTCTGGACCGTATTCCATGTTGGGTATCTACATTTTAGAATAGATTCTGATCTGAGTCCCTGGGCGTAGTTAGAAAAGTAAACTACAGTAAAATGTATGTGGAGCATTAACAGGATAATATTAGTTACCATATATGAAAAAAAAAAACAGAATGAAACTTAGTATCAAAGACTAAACTTGTCAGTCACCTAAATAAGCAATCATATGCTGTGTCAGATATAATCGGCGTCATTTGGCTAATGCTGTTGATCTACCACAGTGATATTTTGAAATGGAAAGCTATTAAACAAATAAGTGTATTGAAATCAGCAGCATTCACAGCGTTGTAGTCAAAATTCTTCTATATTTTCATGTTTGACCCTCCTAGTGGAAGTCATGTTTTGCCTTTCTAATTAAATATTTGGTTACCCAGAGCTGGTTTTATGCTTTGGAGAAAGCCAAATTCAAGTCAACTTTTTGAAAGGAACTTTTCTACATGTATGTAGTTAGGCAGATCCTGCCTGAGGAACTGATTGTTATGTGAGTGGATTCTGAAGAATTTTCATTCAAAGCCTTTCGTTCAATGGAAGTTGGCTGACTAAAATGATTTCTGTGCCTTTTGGGCATTATTTTCAAAACAGGATTCTAAAGTCAAATTCTTAAATCTGCACCTTGGAATTTAAATGGGTGTTCTGATTTTCAAAATCCAATGGCACTTTTTAAGTTAAATCATTCATTAGGAGAGTGAAAGAGGATTTCCAGTTGGATGCTTAAGAAAACAAACAAACAAAAAAACCCCACACCTACTTTTCAAGATTTTTAACTCTAGAAGAAGAAAGCTTAACATGTGATCTGGTTTTAAAAAGTGCTGTGTACCCAATAACTCTTTCAAAAGTCAGTGTTTTCAAGCAGTGGTTTGCATTCTTAAGAGCATGCAGAGCCTCAGAGGATCCAGAAGGGTTCCCAGACAGTAAATGTGCCTTTTGTCACCTTTCAGCCTTCTTCCTAACATTGAATTGGGAAATTGCCGAACTGATCCCCCACAGAAATACTTATATTTACAGCCTCCCTTGCTGCTCTAATTTGTGGCTCCCCAGGAGATGCTTTCCTCGCCAAAAAAAAGGCTCGCAAGGACTTGCTTCCCTAGCCATAATAGCTCAAAAAATTTCCTGTTCCAGTTCTGTCCTTTTTATCACTCCCTCACCATGTATATTCCTGTGCCATTGGTTTTACTAGAGAAGCTGGTTTTATCTTTTTATTGTCTGGAATAATTGTTATATACTCTAGTTATGTAAGGGTTTCATCTGTCATAATCTTAACAGCACAGAATCAATATAAAAAAAAAAAATTGCCAAATTCACATATTCAAAACATCTAGCTCTACCAAATCTATTTTTTTAATTATGATTTAAGACCTTTTTCTTTGCTTTAGGGATTCTTAGTCTGTTACAGTACTCAAGTGATGCCTTCATCCTTTTTCTGCAGCCAGAAAAATGGGAATTTTTTTTAATGAAAGTTGTGATTTTTACATGATCACAGGAAAGGGAAAATAATAAATATGGTGAAACTTAAGATAAAATGACAAGAACTGGCAACACTGTGTTTGTCAACAGGATTGAAATGATGCTATGGTTATTTTTTTCTTTTTGTGAAGATGATCTCTTCCTTCTTTTGCTTAACTTGTGTAGCAACCCTCTAGCTTTGTTCAAGCTCGGCAGATCATTAAAACTGATGGTCTGGGCTTCCAAGGACTCAACAAAGGGCTTACTGCAACACTGGGCCGTCACGGAGTTTTTAACATGGTTTACTTTGGATTCTACTTCAATGTGAAAAACATTCTTCCAGTCAATAAGGTAAGTTCTTCACACAATGCAGTTAGACAAACAGATAAGAGGCTTGGCTATTTAATTAACACTGTATTTTTCTGTGTAAAGCTGTGGTATTTAGTAATAAACAGTGACTAACCTAGCTCTCTGTTTTGCAGAAATCTATAGCATTTTAATGGAAGCAAACCAAGGATTTGTACTTCTCACTTTTTAAGCAAAGCTGAGTATAAATAAAGTAGTCATGTTTGAATTCTCATTTTTATGAATTTCCCTTTATACCATGGTAGCAATGTAAAAAGGCAGAAATCGAGATACAGGTATGTTATGCTTACATTAGGTATGTATGCACTTTTTGTGGTAAACTGGCTTAGAATTCTGAGAAAAAATCAGTTTCTAGAACTTCTTTCAACATTCACAAACGGGTGAAGCTTGAGGAGGTGGCAGAGCTGCAGTATGTAGAGTGTTCTGGCCTTGTGCTGGGCCTGTTCACTCAAAAGAGAGTTCAACCTAGTGTTGAAGGACGACAGGACAGATTTATTCATATGGGAGGGAACCAGCCCAAAACAGGACTTAGAGGGTCGTGCCCAGGGGCTTTACATAGTATGTCCTATGAGCAAGTTAAAAAAAAAATCTTTATAGCTGTAAGTTCACATGAAGCAATTTTATTTGATACTCTTATATTCCTTTACATAACAAAGGAAACATTTCCCTTTACAACAAAGGGAAATCATACTAATGAAAACGTGGTAATACCGGCAACTTTCTAAAGGACTGTGTGAGCAAGAGCTAATGGTTTATTAATGACTCCAAAATGTTACTTGCTGAACTGAGTTTTCACTAATGTGATTTTTAGATGATGACAGTTAAACAGTCACAGGTGTTCCCTTTATACCATGGTAGCAATGTAAAAAGGCAGAAATCGAGATACAGGTATGTTATGCTTACATTAGGTATGTATGCACTTTTTGTGGTAAACTGGCTTAGAATTCTGAGAAAAAATCGGTTTCTAGAACTTCTTTCAACATTCACAAACGGGTGAAGCTTGAGGAGGTGGCAGAGCTGCAGTATGTAGAGTGTTCTGGCCTTGTGCTGGGCCTGTTCACTCAAAAGAGAGTTCAACCTAGTGTTGAAGGACGACAGGACAGATTTATTCATATGGGAGGGAACCAGCCCAAAACAGGACTTAGAGGGTCGTGCCCAGGGGCTTTACATAGTATGTCCTATGAGCAAGTTAAAAAAAAAAATCTTTATAGCTGTAAGTTCACATGAAGCAATTTTATTTGATACTCTTATATTCCTTTACATAACAAAGGAAACATTTCCCTTTACAACAAAGGGAAATCATACTAATGAAAACGTGGTAATACCGGCAACTTTCTAAAGGACTGTGTGAGCAAGAGCTAATGGTTTATTAATGACTCCAAAATGTTACTTGCTGAACTGAGTTTTCACTAATGTGATTTTTAGATGATGACAGTTAAACAGTCACAGGTGTAATATGTAGTGATATTCATATAAGAAGCTGCAATTTACATCAAAAGGGATCAGTTTCTATTCCCAGATGAAGTAACACCTCTTTTTTTTTCTGTACTTCTGAGTAGCCTGGTATTTTTGTTGGCAACATTGTGTAAATGGAGAAAAGCTCCACTTCTTATTTGCAGATCATTACAGTAAATTGAATTGCTCAAAAGCAGCTAACCCACAAGTTTCTACAAGTTTCTTTTAGTGCATTAAAGCATACTTTACAATGTACTTTAATCACACATTCTAAAAACTCAAGGCAGAAGCATGGCTTGATACTAAGATAGGAGTAAACAGGTTTATATTGATCAAAAGATTAAAAAATTATAATCAATATGCAGAACATTCAGAATCATATGCAGGTAAGGACAAAGAAGCTTGTGTGCAACTTCTATAGAAATCCTGAAGTGTTCTTGTGTAGCAATTGAAGAATAGTAATAGTATTTGGCATAATCATGCTTTCCTAGCCTTTCAGATTTAAAAAAATGGGAAATATTTATTGCATGTTTAGAAAGGTTCAGAGCTTTATGATCTGAGAGAAATTAGCACTTTATACAGACTTTGCATGCTACAGAGAATTGTTAACGTCTACAATAGATCTAGAAAACGAAAGAGAAATTACTTCAACGGTGTCAGGCAGTGGCCTGGCTGTCCTGTACATACTATCAAAAACAAAAGGCAATTTAATCAAGGGAGGATTAGATTGCATTAACTGCAAAACAGTGGAGAGGTTTGTCTTGCGCTCGACCAGTGCAAAGTGGCTTGCACGGTGGCTTGCACAGTGGCTATATCTGTGCTAGTAAATTGAGCAGCGTCACTGAAACTCAGTCATCTGTGCTGTTAAATGTTCCCTGGCACGGCTTTGGCCCAGGCCAGCCAACACTGTTCCTGGGTATGGCTTAGGAGCTAGCGCAGGCAAGGAACCGTTCCTAATAGGCATGTTTCACACAGCCAGTCTGGTTTGGATGGTAATAGCATTTAATAGCGCTAATAAAGTTAATAGGGCTCTCTAGGCCAGCTGGCATCAGTGCCATAGACAGTTCTGTACATATAGATACAGCCAATAATTCTGATCAAACTCCCATTAAAATCAATGTAAATCTTACCCTAAATTTAACAGGGTACAGATCAGGCCTCATCTGGCTTGTGTTAGCCAGCAGTGTGTCTCAGGCGTTTACATGCATTGAACTTCACTTCAGTGACTGGAAAATAGAAGTATTCAACAATATTTTGTGATCTGTAACTTAAACCTCTTCTGTCAGTAGGCAGGTGCTACAGGCTAAGAATTATCAAACCTGTACAAGGAATTTGATAGAAGCTGGTTTGCAGTTAGTCTGAAAAATATTAGCCAGTTGTAACTTTTCAAGATTTCTCACATACTTGATTTCATTACAAGACCTAATTTGTTCACTTTGTATATTTTGCGAGAAAAGAAAATCTTAAAGTCAGTCTTGTGATATTGACAAACATATAAAAATTGTGAAATAAGAATACTACACTTTTGAAATCATTTTGGCTCTTGACTATGTATCTGCTGTTCACCATCTGTAACGTAAGTGGAAAAATGTATGGAAATGTCTGTATGAGCCTTTTAGCTGTCAACGGTGCTAAACTGTGCATTAAATTTGCATCCCAATTAAGGATGTTTGCAGCTTATTTTGCCAAAAACAATAAACCTTTTATGTTGAGTGGTCAAGTGATATAAATGACATGTGTGGGTTGTAAATGTTCGTAATGAATTATTTTTCATATGTTCAGTCTATTCTGCTAAACAGACCATTTACAGCCAACCTTGTGCTCTGTTTACTGAAAATGGAATAAGCTAGGCTTGTTTCAATTGCCACTAATGTATCAACCATAGAGCATTAACAGCTATGCATCTGCGCTAGCAATCAAATCAGTCTGCAAATTTATATCGTCTCAGTTTTATGGCACCTGCCTTTATAGCGCATTTCGTAGGCGTCCAAGCCTATCATAGTTAGGTTTGATGACGAACGCTAGTTTCATTAAAACCTTTGCTCACTACCACCTCCAAGTGGCTGTCATATTTCTTGATGATATGAAATGTCCTTACTGTCTGTTAAAAGCCCCCTTTGAAACGTGGCCAACTGCAAAACTCATTTCGGGTCAGGCACTGCCTGCCCCCGCTGTCACGGATGTGCCTCCTGTCAAAAGGGCTGCTGCATCAGAGAGCAGGAGCCGAGTGGTGTGTCACTTTGTTGGAGGAGGCTCTAAATTCCTATAGGCAAAGAAGAAGAGATAGGCAACAAAAATGGTCTGTTCAGCTTAGCGAATAAACAAGAGAGTAGACAACAATTTTATTTTTAGTCATTTTCAGATCTATGCCAAGGTAGCAGTTACATGTAGGAACAGAGAGTGAAAAGGGCATGTGTTACAACACAGTTGGAAAAATGGTAAGCCAAGATGATTTAGGACAAGACTGCATCAGAGTGGGAATAGGATAACCTCAGAGCTACCATCCAAGCTCAGATTCCAGGATGACCTGTGAACTGGGAAAAAAAAAATGGCAGTGCTGTATCCAGTACGATGTTACAAGTCACCCATTGACCAGTCTCCAATCTGAGGTGTCCTGTGGCTGTGGAAACTACAGCCTGTGTTGTTTAAAGACTTCAGCCTAGGCCATCATCACCAAAGGACGTTGTACCAAAGGAGGAGAGTCTGTTGCTACCTCAGCTGTTTGTGTACTGCGGTATTCCTGTAGGCAAGACAGATACGAATTTTCAGGAGAGGAATCTTTGGTCAAAATAAAAATGTGAAGAAGAAAAAGTGAGTTTCTTCTGTTTTCCTGTGGAATTTAGGATAATGCTGAAACTGATAACCAGGTTCAACCATAGCTGACAGAGAGGCAGTCTTAAAGTAGCTAAGTTCTTGCAAGACATACAAATAAACATTTAAAAGGAGGAGAGATCCTACAAGTGCATTTTATGAGTGCCCCAGGTGAAGGAAATTTTCAGTGGGAATTTGTGCCTTATTAAACACTGAATTCCATGGGGAAAAGCCCACATAAGCCTTAGTCTGAGCTTGCTCCTTTCCAGTTATCAGTATCAATCAGTCACAAGAACCCATAGGACACCAGATTTCTTTAGTTCTGGTATTCATGGGGCTACTCTTTTTTTTTTTTTTCTTCTGTTTCATAAGTTACTGTATAGCTGAGACTGAAGACAGATAGTGCAGACAATGGTACTGGGTGCAGCGGTAAGCAATAAGCCATCCTTGTCTGGGTGCCCTTTCCTGCATAGTTAGTGTCTTAATGGTGCCATGAAAAGGTGACCTGCTTGTAACCCCAACACTTTATGAACAGTCTGATCATCTACATGGGAGAGCTGAGTCTCCAGAATTCTGTACATTTTGTATTTGGTGATCACGTATTTGTTGTCTCTTGGGTTTTTATTTACATCAGAACTTCTTTGGTGCAGTTGTTTGTTTTAGGACTAAATGAAGTGAAGTCCTAGCCTTGCCCTATGGGTCCAAAAGGTTATAGAAAA